ATCCTGGAGTGTCATAGTTGGCCACAAGCTGAACATGAGTAAGCAGCAGAGATACTGATTTGTAAGAAAAAGCTGGTTTGTGATCTGCAGAAAAAGCAACTGTCCTCCTCCCCTGTCGGGTAAGGAGAGTAACTTACTTCAGAATTGTGCTCCCAGGGTTTATTTGTAGGTCATTTGTTAGGAACTCGGAACCCCTTCCCTTGCGGAATTACTATTACGAGTGGAGCTAACCTAGAAATGCCCACCCAGTGCTCAAAACCTCGTATTTATGATAAAGCAACAGGAGAAAGCAGTTCAGCTGTGACATGCAGTTAATTTTCACCATTCCTTTGTTATGACTGGGAAATGTCCCATTGGCTACTCAGTGAGGGATCACTGATGTCATGGTCACAAGCACAGCTTCTTTTACTTTTCAGGGTGTTAGTATTTGTTGGGACCTTGGCCTCTTCCCACCACCACCCCTGTTGGATTTTTCTGGAAGGCTTTTAGTCCTCCTCCCAATCCTGTGTTCATGTGTGTGCAGACACACATGTACCACACATACAGACATACACAGACCCAGAGGCACACAGACTCTGACACACAGAGACACATATACCCTGCACACACAGCACACAAACACATGCAGTCCCCATGCACACATGCAGACTGCAGGTGACACCTTGAGCAGCACCTTGGCCTCTGCGGGTGCCACATCCCCCTCCTCACCCCAGTCTGTCCCTGACTTCCAGTGTGAGATACCGCTGCATGCACTTTCCTAAAGTCTGACAGCAATATGACGATGGTTTGTCCTGCCTCCAAAATTTCCTTCCTTCAGATTGTGTCTGGATCCTTCCATTGCCTTCCATCTTTAGTACCAATCCCTAGTGCTCGCTTGTCACCCAGACTAGGGCGACAGCCCAACAGGCCTCTCTACACTCCATGCCCACCTGCCCCAGTCCCCATTCCATTCTCTGCACAGGGGCCAGAGGGAGCTTGGAAATGTTCCATTGGTTTGTGCCACTTCCCCGCCCTGAACACGAAGTCCAGCTCTGACCCTGACCTGGGCCTCTACTCCTCCTGCCTCTCATGTCCTTTCTCTTCCGCAGCCACCACATCACTCCTGGCCGTCTGAAGACACCCACCTTGTCGCTGACTCTGCGCTCCTGCCCTGGCTTTTCTTCACCTGGTGCAGTGTGAATCTCAGCCCTTCCTTGGAGGAGTCTTCTTTGATGTCGCTTTCTAAAGTAGCCTCCCTCTACTCTCTTACACGATCCTATTTATTTCCTCAAAGAACACAATCAGTCTGCAGTGCTGTCATTTATTTATGCATGTCCTTATATATTGTGCATCTCCTTCACCAGAATATAATTTTGAAAACCTGTTAATTGCTCTAGCTGTAGCGTCCAGAACTACGCTTGACAGCGAAGCTGTTCATAAAAGTTGAATGAATGAATGAATCTAAAGCACACTAATTGGCTGGGCACAGTGGCTCACACTGGTAATCCTAACATTTTGGGAGGCTGAGGCAAGAGGATTGCTTGAGGCCAGGAGTTTTAGATCAGCCTGAGCAACATAGCAAGATCCTTATCTTTACAAAAAATAGAAAAATCAGTGGGCCATGGTGGTATGTGCCTGTAGTCCCAGCTTCTAGGGAGGCTGAGGCAGGAGGATCACTTGAGCCCCTGAGTTTGAGGTTACAGGGAGCTGTGATGATGCCACTGCACTCTACCCAGAGTGACAGAGTGAGACTCTGTCTTTAACAAAAAAAGGCACATTAGAGAGATCGAATGAAAAAATGCTGCCTCGGGAGGGAAATTTTATGTAGTGTGAAGGGATTTTGGGAGGTGGGTGCTGCATAGACCCACAGAATCCTGTTGACTGGTGACTGGTGGCAGAGTCATGCGAAGGCCTTAGTGGTTGGAGGCCCTGCTGGCTTTGGCAAGGATGAGCTTCAGAAGCACAGATCCTAGGGTCAGTGTCCAAGAGCGGAGTGGCAGAGGGGCCAACGATTCCAGGAGGGTAAGGAGGGAGGTGTAGCCACTGGTTAGACCCTGTTGCCTCTATGCTTATAACAGATTAGAATATGTGGCTTACACACAAGCAACAAACTCCACTTTCCCACCCATACTAAGTGGGTTGAGAGTAATGTGGCTGGGGTGAGAATAATCACAGTTTATTTGGTTTTAAATATGTCAATGCCTGTGTGGAAAACACAGCATACCTGCAGATGCCAGCATACCTTTGGGGTGTGACCTTCATGCCACAAGGCGGTGGGATGACTAATGATTGTAAAGCAAGGCTCCGGAAGGTATCTTAGGGGTATATTTGTGAAGAGTCAAGTAGAGATCTGGGAGAAACAGGATCCAGGATGCATGAAGGACTGGGTGGTAAGGGGAAAAGAAGGCATGGGGATGGGAGGCAAAAGAAGTGAGTTCTTTTAGATGTTCGTCCTGGGCCGGTGCTGGGGCCAGGGGGAGACTGTGGCTGAGCCCTGGCAGGTCAGCAGAGCCAGGGGCACTGGGGAGTGGCCCAGGCAGCAGAGAGTGGGCCAGGCTGTCCCGGAGCATTTTCTGGGCATTGCCTACACGGAGAGAACAGGTCATGAGCACCCGAAACCCAGCAGGACAAGGGGTGGGAGAGAATCTGGCTTAGGGACAGCACATGGGAAAGTTAAGGGTTTTCATTCATGATAAGGTCAAAAAGAGACCCCAGCATATTAGGATCTGTGAAATAAATGAACAGGTTATAGTCTTCTCAGTGGGATCTGGTCCCACTCTTCTCAGCCCACTTCTGGAAGATTCTCGTCATCCTGGGGTCTCACTTTGACATTGAACAGACAAACCAGACCCCACATAGAGGAGAGTGGTGAGAAACCTTCATGTAAGAGTAGGCTGAAAGGAATTGAGGACATGTGGGTTGGAGGGAGAGAATTCAGGGTGGCACACTGCTTACGCTCTGTATGTTCCCAAGAGCAAACCTAATGCATGGATGTTATCGCTATAGAGTCCAGCTCCAAGCGCAAAAGAGCTGTCTAATAATTCTACACTGGCATGGGCTGAACCAGGACACTTCCTGAACTTGGTGCCCCAAGCAGAAGCCAGGACACCATATAGGAGATCCAGATGTCTGCCTGGGTCATGGGCCTGGACAACCTTCAAAATCTCTTCCAACCTCAAGAATTTGTGAATCGCTGAATGAAATTCTAATTTTGTCATTTGTGACTCAGAGGCAGAGGAGGCTCTTATTTTGAGTCAGAGCAGCCGAGTGGAAAGATCCCAGCTCCTTGGAGACAGACAGACCTGGCTTCTGAGACTGGCTCTGACTCGTGCGAGCAGTGTGCCCTGGAGGACTTCCTTTGCCTTTCTGAATCTCAGTGTTCTCGTCTGTAAGATGGAGATATCTACCTTCTATTGGCATTAAGTGAATCAATATTTAAAAAGGCTAAAACACAGCAGATTGTTTGTGTGTGTTAGTGGGGAGAGGGCATACAAGACCTTTGCCATGCTACACAATTGCATGACTGCCTACTGCGTTAACTTTCCTTTTCCTGAGACTTCCGCTTACAGAGCAAGGCAGCATTGAGTTTAATGACAAGATGGAACAGATGCTGATGTCATATGGACAGATTCCGGCTTGAATCCACTTAACAGAGAACGGAGGGGTCTGATGTGGGGAGAGGAGGTCCCTGTGACCATGCTGCGGCAGGGGCAGGAGGAAGTTACCCCTGAGGGCCACCAGCAGACACCCTCTGGCTCTGAGCCTGGGCTTCTGGCCTCTGGATGAGTGGAGTTGTGTAGGTGCTCACAGTCTTTTGGGAAAAGAGTGGGCCTGGACAAATCTGCCTCCTCCCACGAGTGTCCGCAGGTGACACCAGGTCTGGAGCCACCTTCAGCTGTGGAGTGGGCACAGGTGTTCTTTAGCCATCCCCACCTCAGCTTCCTCACCTGTTCTTCCAGCCCTGCTCCCTCTTACTAGTCCCTTCCTAATTCCTCTGTCACCCTGCTTCTCCTCAGAAGCGGCTCCCCTTTTTCACAAGGGGTATAAAAGACTGACAAAGCCGAAGGTGCCCAGGTGCAACCTCTCCCAGGGACGCTTGCGCTTCAACCCTCAGCCAGTGGGCCTCTCCACTGGCCACTCTCTCCTGTCCGGGGGTGTGGGTGGTGCCACCCTGACGTCTGTCTCTGGCAAAGCTGGCCCGCTGTGGGTCAGGATGGCTGTCCTGAGTCCAGACAGAGGGTGCTGAGAACCAGGCCCAAAGCTCTGCCTGGGAGCACCGCTTCCCCCCTGCCTTCTGGGAGGAGGAAGTGAGTGGGTCCTGCCTGGGCCTCCCGCAGCTGGGGCTGACTCAGTGATTCCTGGAAGGTGGTGACGTCAGGGTGACATAGCGGTTCCCCTCCCCAGCCAAAGTCAATAGGAGGGTGAGTGACGAGTGTCTATCAGTGGCTCTGAGGCCTGAGGCGCTCTCAGGAGTGCCCAAGTCCATTGGCTCCCGCCAGCCACGTAAGGCCACCTGTATTTATAGCTCCCTTTCTCGATCCCCCCAGCCCCCAATATTCCCACGGAGATTCCATGTTCTGCATGTGCAGAGCAGCCTTGATTGATTTTAAGCATTCTGCCCCTTTGTTTGTCCATGTAAACAAATTCACAGATCATAGCAAATTGGGAAGGGGACCCGCCATCCCAAACAGAGCACGTGAGGCTGCGTGTCCCTGGACCTTGCTCCAGTTTCGCATCTGCACATCTTTTCACCCATATTAATAGCTTCTTAGACTCTGCCTATGTGTCTCTTCATTTCTTTTGTCTCCTCCAGGACTCCCCCACGGGGCTGAATGTGTGGGAAACTATAAAAAACCCGCTTTTGGGGGGCGGCGTAGGCTCCCCCTCTCGCCCTTGTCAAGGGCTCCCTCTTACTACGTCGCTGCGGGCGGGGGCCCCGCAGCAGAGCCCGGCGGGTCGGGACGGGGAGCAGCCTTTTGCTCCCGAGCGGCGCGGTACCGAGAGGGGACGGTGTCCTGGTGCGGGTTTGGAACCGCCCGGCGGGACTCGCTGGGGCCTGGTGCTTTCGGACAGCCACGCCCTGCTGCCTTGTTTACCAAAGACCCGACTCCCCGGGAGGCTGCGTCAGACCACATGGAGTAAAATGGGTCCTTTGTCAGCTGCAGTCGGAATTCAAACGCCTCCTCTGAGGTCCTCCCCGCCCGACCCCCGTGCTTTCCCGGGGAGCCCCGGCGGCGCCTCTCGCTGCCCGGTGCTGCCCCCTGCCGGGGACCGCGGGCACAGCGCGTGCCTTCCAAAGGGTGGCTTCTCATCACCTGAAGTTGTCAGAGCAGCTAATAGCGCGTGAACAGGAAGAAAATTACGCTTCTGTAAGTGGATTGGGTGTTGAAAGACTCTGAGATCAATGGTGGAGGCAGGGAGCGTGACTGATGGAGATTCAAGTCTGAAGTAAGTCGCGGGGGGTGCGTGGGAAAAGAAGGAACCGATGTCTACGGTCACCATCTCATTTAAATCAAGACTCCTGTTTGGTGGACAGGAGAACGGACTTGAGTCTTAGAAAGGTTAAGTAACCACCCAAAGTTACACAGTGAGTAAATGGCGGAGCCAGGACTTGAACTTGGTGACCCTAGAGTGTGTGACATCTGGTGTTCTACCCCCCTCTTGCTAGAGGAGCAGAATTCTGCCCAGTAGGAAGATCCCTTTGTCTATGGTGTGGACTGGCTTCTTTGGGATGAAGGTGAAATTTCAACAGGGAAGGCTCTTTACTAAGAGAGTTTTTAGCTGTAGCTTCTATGATGTGAGTTGAGGGGTGCTGGGAGGATCTCCCTCCCTGAAAATATCTCCTCCAAATGGCCTGGATTTTGCTGGAAGAGAGTCATTCCTTTGATTAAGATTGGCTAAGTGGCACCCTTTTGTTAAATGAAATTACAGTTCCTAAGGGGAGGAGTCCCATGTTAAACTTTTAAATCTTAATTCTACCTCAGTGGGGATTAGCTTGTCAGATTGCTTTCTTTATTCCCAAGGAGATTCCTCAGACTGAGAATATCCCAAACTAAACCCTTCATCTGCTCTCCCAGCCTGCTCCTTTCTGACATCCAACGGGCTCAGAAATCCTTAAGTTGTCGCTCAGTTCCGGGGCTGATAGGTCTGAGGTCTGACTCAACCTGCCTCTGGAGTGGTGCTTGGGTCTCACTGTCTGGTCAGGCTCTCAGCAGCAGCTTCCTGGCTCTGGGACTTCGCCCCTTAATCAAATCTTAGTGTAGCAGGGAAAGAGAGCTTTCTAATATGTAAATCCGAGAATGCTGCATTTCCTATTAAAATCCTCCTCAAGGCCTTAAAGAAAAGTGAAAACTCCTTAGTATTTGATACTCAGGAAGTTGTTGCCATCCTTCTCTCTGGCCCCCACCCTCTGTATCCCTCCCCTGCAGCACCCTCCGGCACCATTTTCCACCCTCTCCCCAGCCTTGTTATCAGACGCATTGGCCTTGTTATGTCCCTTCATTTGTTCACACCTCCATGGTCCTTCCCCTCCAGTGGTCAGCTGACCACTCCTCAGTGAAGCCATCCCTGATTTCCACTTGAAATCCCAAGGAGGAGGTAAGTTTTCATGTCTCTGTCTCCCCCTAAGCCTGGATACATGAATGAATGAATGAGTGAATGAAGTCAGCTGATGAGTGTTCTATTTAGTTCAAAGGATGTGTTGTTCTTGAAATGAATACAAAGCACACTGTGGCTGCCTTTTCAAATGGTGCTATGATGGGCCGAGTGTGTAGGTGTGTGCATTGGTGGGGTTTGCTGGCTCTGTTTAGATAAGTAATTTGATGGGCCTTGAACTTACTCACACAAGCAGACTAGTTTCAGAACATTGCCATGGAGACGAATGAGGACTCAAGCAGCAGGGTACCACTTAGGCAGTGACAGGTTTTACAGAAAATGGGCTTAGATACACCTTTCTTGTCAAAAAAATCTCCTAGCTAATGGGAAGAGTGCTTCAAGGCAGAATAAAACCTTGCACCTCCAAATGAACAAAAAGCCCCTGAAGTTAGGAAAACAGGAAGTAGCAGGTCAGGAAGAAGATAAATTCTTAGTGATAGACCGAAAGACAAATGGAGAATGAGGATGCTGGAGCCCAGACATGATGTCAGAGTTCAGCATATTATTAGAAAATAAACAAAGGTTGAAGATGTTTCAAATATATAATTATATATTTATATATTCTGTTGTGGGAAGTGAGGATACTGGTCCCTTGGACCTCAGAGAAGTGTTAATCACTTATTACATAACTGTAACTGTATAATCTACATACCCACCATACAGCTTTCCAAATCAGGGAGTGAACTTGGATATATCACTATGGTCCAATTTGCAGACTCTATTAAAATTTTTAAGCTGTCTCAACAATGTGTCTTTTTCCTTTATGGTCCAAGATCATATCCAAGAATGCATGGCTCATGCCTCTTTAGGTTTTTTCCAGTTTGAAACAGTTCCTTAGTCTTTCCCTCTCTGTCATATCCTCACTTCTTTTAAGGAGAATCAGCCTTTCATTCTGTAGGAGTCCCTGGGTCTGTCTGGTGTCCTGATGACCAGACTTGGGTCATGGTCCCTTGATAAGAATCCCGCAGAGATGATGCTGTGCTCTTCTCAGTGAACCGCGTGGGGGCGGGATGGGGGAAACACATGACGTTGACACATCCCACCGCTGGTGCTCGTTATCTTGGGCCCCAGTCACATTGGTGTCTGCCAGCTTTCCCCCTTGTAAAGTCACCATTTCCCACTTTCAAATTGACTGGCATTTTGTGGGGAAGGTATTCCTCTTCTTTATCAAACCTCCATCCACCAGTCTTAGCCTCCATTGATGTCTCCTGCCAGAATCAACCACCACGATGACTGTTGCCAAATGGTGGTTTTCTATTTCTGTCATTCCTTCTTCTCCTTTTATTAGTCAGTGGGCTATCTAATACAGAGCTATCCCATTTTATGTGCTTGTTTATATATTTATTTCAGTAAGGAATCCTATTTTGTTCAATAGATTGTATTTCATTGCTATCTTTGTTTATTTTGATGTTCAAGCTATTCCAGCTATGGCTGGTAGAGTCCCTTCAGGGTGGCTCCCACAGTTTTCTGACATTTCTCCACCCTTCTCAGCACTATCTTACTTTCTGGCACAGTGATAAGACCCAGGCTCATCTCTTACGTTTCCTGCTCCAGTCTGGAATTAGCTCCTTCCCCAAGGAGTCCTGCTTCCTCATAATGGAGGGTGATATTTAGAGACCAAGATCTGGGCTGTTAATGTGCTTATTGTTACTGAGGTGCCATAGCTCCTAGGCCCATTCAGTGGACAGATTTGGGAATTATATGTATGTTTATGCACACACACATGTCTATCTACAACTATTTTTGTATCTGCCTGTGTTTATATATTTTTAAAAAAGCAAGTCGATAATACTAACACCTCTAATTCCAATCCACCTTCAAGGTTCTTTATAGTTTTCTCCTTCTCCATGTTTATAACTCCTTTCTTCGGTGGTGAGAAAACTGGTTCTCATTATTCTCAATGTATGTACTTATTTGTGTAATGTAACCAATCTCTCCATCACATCAGCTATGTTTTTCACCTCCACTCCCTGCCCCCACCCCTCAGTGCCCTGTATCCCTGGGTGGGAGCAGGCAGAGCATCAGTGCATCTCCGCAGGGTAGCCCCTTCCCCTGCCGGTACCTCAGGGGGGCCCAGTGTGACCCTTCCATGCCAGGAAGGGAAGGGAAGGAAAGAAAAAGGAAGAAAGAGGAAGCCCGTGTAGATTTTTTTTAAATGAACGATAAAAGAAAGAAGAAGGAGGTGCCATTTTACTTTTACCAGCAAGTGCTTTATCCAGTATTGATTGATAAGAATGTATAGATAAATGCTGATGGATGTATGAATTGGTAATGAATATTGCTTTAATAAATTATGTAGTTATTTGCATTTAAAATATAATACATTGTCGATGTCCTTCTCTTTACAAATTCCATGAAGCTTTATAGATGGAGTGAGGTGGGAAATATAAATAAAAATAAATATGAATAGTAGTGATGGGGCCGAAGAAATGCCCAAAGGGCAATTGATGGTTGGATTCAGGCCCCAAGACAGGATACTTCTCAAAATTTGGAAAGCAAAGTTAAAAATAATTCATTTTCTGAAGATGAAGCCAATAGAAATCAGCCTCAGAGGGAGGAGATTAACCACCTGCGGGTAGAACCATCTTGAAAGACGACTTGTAATTGGCTTCTGAATGCAACCTGGGTGCCATGAAGGATGCTGAAAGCCTTCCAAAATCTTCCTCTGCAGCCGTTCGTTTATTCAACAGTACTCATGTTGATGTCTGCCACGTTTTCCCCTCTAATGTTGCTATTTCTCTCTTTGGAATTATGTGTCAGCCTGCTAAGCGCTGGACAATAGATATAACAGGGCAAGAAGCACAGTCCTCATAACCAGAAAGCTCATAGTCTGGTGGGGAGATGGACCAGTAACCAGGTGGCTTTCATAATGTGCTAAGTGCCTAGAAAGGAGCGAGCATCCAGCTCGTCTTGGTGCAGGGTGTATGGAAGGGCATAGCAGAAGAGGTGACGTCTAAGCAGAGACCTGAAGGACCAGTGGGAATTAGCCAAGATAAGGGAATGCAGGTAATATGACAGAATGAGTGGCCACACATTCCAAGCTCTGGAAAAATGAGAGAGCACGGAGTACTTAAGGAGTAGCAAATGGCTCAGTGTGCCCGGAATGCTAAGTCTGAGGGGAAGACTGGAGAGCTAAGCAGGGACTGGATCATCAGAGGTCTTGGAAGCCGTGTTTATGCATTTGGACTTTGTCCTAGGGAGAGTGAGATGTCCATCAAGTGTGTTAGGCAGATGTGTCATGTGACCCTAATCCCATTTTAGAAAACCTCCCTGATTGTGTACAAGGAGTTAGCCAAGCTCCAAGTCAAGGGCACAGTTCCTGCAGGACTGCCCTCGCCCTAGACACTAGCTCTAAGTTTGGGGGTCCTCAGGATCACCTTCTCTTTAGAGCAGTTGGCTGCAAATTTGGGGGCTCCCATAACTATCCTCAGGTTTGATAATTCACTGGAACAACTCATGGAAATCAGGAAAGTGCTATACTTATGATTGCAGTTTTATTATAGTACAAAGATACAAATTGGAACCTGCCAAAGGAAGAGACAGACACATCGGGAAGAATCTGAGAGCATTTCAAAACAAAACTTCTGTGTCCTCAGGACACATTGCCCCCCCCCCCAGCATTGACGTTGACGATACACATGAAAGAAGTTCATTCATGCTTTGGTGTCCAGAGTTTTTACTGAGGTTTCATTAGGTAGGCATGATTGCATATTGCTCACATGGTTGGACTCAATCTCCAGGCTGCCTCTCCTTCCCAGAGGTCAGGCTGATATCACCCGGTCCAAGGCCCCAGC